TTAATTAGATTTTTATTCGGGCGCTTTATCGGAGGGTAATAAAATAACTACGCGAATATTTAGCGACGGTGCCGTATTTAGCATCGGAAACGGTCCCGGTTCGATTTATTTACGCGAGTGGCCGTAATCGCCGAGCTGGCAATTAGCGATCAATCGATCGGAATTAAAAAATATGAAATTTTGATCTCTCGCCGATAACTGTGATTAATGGCGAGTAACGCCGATCATCGTAGAGAGAACGGGGATGATGGACTAGCAGCGGGATTGATCGCGCGCGCGCGCACGCTCTCGACTGCATATTTTATTCGTATAAATGCCGCTTATGCGTCACTGACGGACGCTTTAAAAGCGCTGATAGGCAAAAAAATAACTATCTTTTCAATTTTATTCCGCAGTAATGGCGGCGAGCGATATTCCCAGCTTTTCAGGGGTAAATGGTCCCTCCTCCCCGCCTCTCTTCTTCTCTCTTGTATACAATATAGGTATATAGACGAACGAATAGAACGGCCTGAACTCGCAGGCTCGCAGAGATGAGGATGCCTGGAATTTCTCAGGCAGTGACGAAACTTTGTTTGCTTCGTGGACTAAGAATTAAATTAAAAGACGCGTCGTGGCATAGAGCATCCGCCGGTCGTCTCTGGTCGCATCACGGCGATACATTTATACTCTCTCTCTCTTTCTCTCGTACCGCTCTTTTAATACTCATCAGATTGGATTCATTTATCTCCCTAAACTTTTTAGAAAATCTTCCCGATTCGCCGAGCCGTTAACGCTAAGTGGCGGGAATAAATTGAAAGTCTTTTCTCGACCGGGGAAAAGTTCCGCCTTGGAACGATAACTTTGCGTGCATCAACTTCAGTAATTAGCTTTATATTAATTAATAAATTCTCTCGCAGTTACGTCCGTCTTTCTTATTCGCTGCACGTACACGGCACGTAGGAATACTCCTCGGCGCTCTTAATTTTAATGGCGGAATACTTGAATCTTGGCATCGATTCTTCTTTCGACAAAATCTCAGAGTGGATGTGGTCGAGGGATTAGATGTATTTAAAATTGAATGTCTAAAATGTTAAAATTCTTAAGCTCAAATTAATGAATCTTAATAAGCGAATTTCATTAGCGAGATTGAGCGAATTTCGAATCAATTCAATAAGTGAATTTTATATTTTAATAGAATCTGAGGCGACTGCTCCTATTTAGATTCAATTCAATAAGTGAATTTTATATTCTAATTTAAAATTCTAATATTTTAGAATATAAAATTCAGTTATTGAATTGAATCGAAACAGGAGCGGTTCTAATATAATAGAATAATATATATTAATATTCTAATATATTAGAATATAAAATTTACTTGTTGAATTGAATCGAAATAGGATTCGAGGCGACTGCTCTTATTTCGAATAAGTGCAAACAAAATAAACTATTCTCGAGAGACGTGATTCGTTCCGATAATATAAAGGAATTATTTCCTGCTTGTCCAAAGCCTGAATGCGAGCCGAGGCTACGCCCGACTAATTGATCGTTAAGAGCATCCCTCGGCTGAGCCAGCCCGGGACCGTTTCGCGCGCTCAAACAGAGACAAGCGCTTCTTTGTTTTCGAACGTCGAATTCTAGCACCGCAAAGCGCCCCTCGAGGGCTCGTGGCTTAAGCCGGAAACGCGCGATTCGAGGGTTGCCACTGCAGGTGCGGCCGTTCGTAGCTAAACTTCATTTACTTCAACCCCCGCCCTCGGTCTGTAACCACTCACGAGCCTGACTGCGATCCAATCAAATTAGAAGAACGTTCAAAGTATCAGCGTCGTTGCCGCAAATGGACTCGTCTAATTTCTTAAAATTCCGGTTGCGCGAACGCATTGTGGAACTTGTGATATATTTGCTTGACTCGTAAATAACTTCCGATGCCGCGACAAATTTTATTATTTATGAGAATAAATCGTACATATTTATTTTTTCTGAATATTTTTTCTAAATGACTCGTCTCCGCTAGTAATTTGTTTTCTATTCATAGGTAAGCATCCCTTCTTTTCGGAAAGAATATTTGATATTTATGACTCAATTATTACAACTTATCACACCCTCTTTATCGCAGCGCTGCTACCTTCGATTAATCTTCAGCTCGTAATATGACTTTTTTACCTGGAATAATGGCAGTCTGAAGCGTTAATTTTTCAGAATTTGCTAACAGAAAAACGGTCGAAAACTTTGGTTTTAATCCTAAAGTTTTTGCGCGTTCTTAATGAATGAAAAACAAGACAAACTCGAAAAGAAGGAAACGATAGTTTTCAAGAAGGGAATTTAATAAAATATCCTGGCCATGCAAGGTGTATTTTTTTATGTTAATTGTAGCAATTTCGCAAATTACGCGAATAAATGGAGTTATTAGTTGGGCTGATTAACGTTTGTTAATTTGGAAATAATGAAAGGATCATGATCGTGTAGAGAATCTCAGAGTCTTTCCCAGATTTCAAAACAGGGATTCCTCATGAATAACAAGTAAATATAAATTCATGTTATCCACGTGGAAGTTTCTCGTCCGTGCGCGAATGAATATTTTCTCCATTCATCGTGCGCCGTATGTTCTTCACGGTAATCGGTCCGCCGGATCGTAAATTAGTAAATGGACCTGCAATTTTAACGCGCGCTCCGTGCCCGTCCGCGGGCATTATTCCCCGCGTTTTTTTTTCGACAGACGACGGGCGCGACGTTTCGTTAACTGTATACAAACGGGGGAAAAATCCGAAGTCGCGAGGATGAAATTCGAGCGGATGTGACTCGCGCTCGTCGGTGATTATTCCGTGACGTCCGTGATGCCGCGACAAGATGAAATGTACGCGAACGCGAATGACGAGTGAAAAATATAAGGGAAAGCGTAACCGGATAATGTTTTTATAATATCGAAATGAATACGATAGGAGACCGCTTATTTCCCTCTCGAAATTTACGTCAAACCGGACAGACATAAATTACAGTATTATATACGAGATATCGCCGTGAATTTATTATGGTCGTGATAATTCGTGTAAAATGAAAATTTCAAGAGATTATTTACGCCATCGTCGAACTCGATTAGCTTTTACTCAGAAATTCTTAATTTTATCTATACCCTTCGACGATGCGGGTCAAAGATTAAAACGCACTTTCCAAGCGAAGCTGGAGCTTCGCACGATGATATCGCGGATATCGTCTTTTCCAGACGGACCGTGATTAATCGGTTCGTCATGTGTACACACATCCCCCTTCGGACCGTAGCAACTTCTTCCATTCATAAAGAACACCCCACAGTGGGCAGCATGCCACACGCGAGCGTAGCGGGCCGAGATAACCGGAAATGGCGTTTCGCGCGGGATTGCGGCTTGTTTACACATTCTTGTTAACCCGGAGATCCCTTGCGCGGGTCTTAAATCATGGCGGATTTTCCACGTGTAAATCGGATTAACAGGAAAACGAAGACGGCGTCGCTTCATTATATAAGCTCCGTTATCGGAGACACGTTGTTGCGCCGAATGGATTTTGCGATTTATCGCGATTGAATCCAATCCTCTAACGACTCTAATTTTAGGAATGGCTCTCTCTCATTCTTATTATTAAAAATATATTTTTTTTTTCTAAATTTACTTCTAAATATGTAAACATTACTTGTACATTTAGAAAATAATTGATTTATAAATATTTTAAACAGAAATCACGGCAACTTAAAAATAAGCAATTACAAACAATATAAAAATAAGCAATATCCCGCAGATTTCTTCTCAGTTCGGTCACATCCAATCGGTATTTCGCAATCGTCTCAGACAATCGATTCCGCGCGAGGATTCCAGCTCGTCGACGAGATTCATCCCAGATTCGTTGCGACTTTCCTCCGCGGAATCGTTATCGGCGATCTGCGGACAGAGCTCGCGATTTCGATCACGGGACTAAAGCCGAGGCAAGATCGCCGCGCAGTCGTACGACTTCTCCTCCTTTCTCTTTTTTTCTTTTCTTCTTTCGTCCTTCCTTATCGCACACGTGCCTCGTCGCGATAAACCGACGCCGTCAGCCGGCGCGCGTACTACGGCCCGTAGTAGGCCGTAGTACACGACCTCCCTTCTCGCCCTTCTCCGGCCGTTCATTCATGAACGGCAGAGCGTGGCCGGAACTTTTCGCGCCGCCGAACCCAACCCACCCTCGCCGATGGAAATCGACGCGGAGGCGCGGGACAAAGAGCGCTACGCTCCACGCCTATCTCGTCGAGCATCCTCGAGATAACGCGCGTGTATGCGCACAGAGAGTGCGAAGGGAATATGGCAGCGCGTGCGCGAAGCACTGCCGAATGATATCCGAAACGCTCGAAGGCGAAAGAGCGCACTGGAGAAGGGTTATTTTCTCGTTTTATACCCTCGTATCGAAAATCCGCGGCGAAAAAACGAGGGAGGGGAAAAAACGAAGCCGCGCTCCCGGATTTTCGATACCGTTCGCGGAGTACCACGCATATAGCGTGTATATATTCGACGAAGCTAAATATATACATCGTTGGCGTTATTATATTTACGTACAGTATGTACACTATTAAGTATTAAAAGATGAAATTTAAACCGATACCTTGAATTAAATAACATTTTGTTATTTTTAACTACCATTGTGTGTCGAAATTTATTATTTTAACACAACAGTGTTATTCTAACTTTATTGATCTAGTTACATTAAATATTGGCATATTTAGTAGGAGCAGTGGCGACCTATAGGAAGGAATAAAAATGGCTCAAATTGAGTATAATTTTACACTATGAATTTAACATTGTACATCTTCGATGTATCGCGAGAATTGTTTCGCTCTTCCCACCAATCCCGCCTTCTTCCCTCGTCTCATTTCGCGAGCGTTCTACGTTTTTGTTGCGTAATAGAGTTCAAATAACCTTCGAGGAACTTGCGTATCCCGCCGTTCCTAGATACCTGCCGTTTCTTTAACTCGGTTAGAGCGAAACTTTACCCCATGAAAACACTGTGCTGCATTTTCGCAGGCAACGGCGGCGGCGGTGGCAGCGACAACAAGCCGTTAAATGGCGCCGTTAATTCCGCGCTTCGTTGGTCGTCCGGTGCCCTGGAAATCCGTGAGACCACGACAGCGGGTAAACACGCCGTTGCAACCGCGGAAATACATCCGGGCGATATTCTGTTAGTCGAGCCGCCGCTGGCGGGCTGTCTCCTGCCCGAGTTCTACGGAACCCATTGTCAGCATTGTTATGCGAGGTGAGGAGAAAATTGCCGTCGGGTTCTCTCACCCGAGTCCTTCTCCTCTCCTCTCCCCCTCTCTCTCGCTCTCTCTTCTCTTTCCCTTCCGGATTTAATGGACACGGACCTTAGGCGACGAGTAATCCACCGTGTGTAGCTTCTGCTTTGTCTACGTGCGCGCGGCCTCACCACCCTCGTTCACCCCGTTATCCGCAGCTTTTTACGGATAAACTCGCGACGGCGAAAGAGAGGAAATGGATTTCATTAACCCGAGCGACGGTCGAGCGAGGCGCGCGACGAACGACATATGCGAACGGGGAAAAAATTCGTTATTACGCGAAGATAAAAGCTGCGTGCGCTGATCAAGCCGCGAAAATTTTCAGAACGGCACGCATGTTTAAAGTTACGACGTTCAAAGCCGGATTCAGACCGAACTAGCAAGCGCGAGCGAACACGAACGAATAAATTGTCTCAATATGTGCGAACGGCGCCATTGGTAATCCGGTTCCAGCTTTAAACTAACTTTAAAGACGCCGGGAATTGGTTTTCCCGGACGTTATTCTATATATCTTTCATGTCGTTTGTATAAATTTTATTTTTTTTTTTTAAATCAACTTTTGGAATTTATGACGTTTTACAAAGCGACTTTGTTAGATTTGTTAAGTTGTTCGTTATATTTAGAACGTATTACTTGAAATTGTTGATCGGTCTCAAATTTACCTAGATAAAATCTTGAACTCACAGGTTGAACTCCTTCGGCTTTTATTCGTCAATTTGCATAATTCCTTTCCTCCGGACTAACCCCGTTCTCCTTTCGATCGATTTACGAATATCCGGGAAATTTTTAGACTAAGAGCGCCGGTCGGGTGCCCCCACTGCAGCTGCGTTGCCTTTTGCGGAAAGAAATGCAAGGACGTCGCGATGGCGACGTATCACAAGTACGAGTGCAAAGTCCTGGCGCTGCTGATAGGTAAGAACATACACATGAACAGACGACTTAATGTCGGTATAATATATACAACATTTCGATAACAGATGTAGTTTCAGCGGACATTGCGATAACAGACATAGTTAGCTTTTGCCTAAACTTAAACGGATTTCAATTGTTGCCATCAATTCTCGCGATGTTTGAAGATTAATAACCAAAATATTTTTCATAAAAATATTCCACTAAAATAAAGCCTATTGGAGAGATTCCGACTTTTTATTTCAATTCGATATAATTGAAAAATATTATTGGTATCTCAATTAATATTACAGTTTTTTTACATCAAACACATTTGATACAAATTAATAAAACTTGCGATGTAATAATTAGCGCAATAATAAACTTCATCGTATTCGTCGACGTATTTTTCTCGTTAAGTAAAAGCTACACTTTACACACGCGCGACCTGGCATTATCTCGAGCGCCCTACGGACCGAGGCTCTCACAGGGTAATTACGAGCCGCTCTTAAATTTCTCCCCTCAGGCTCTGGCATGAGCGTGCTCAGCATGGTCGCTCTTCGGATGGTGACGCAGGAGGGCCCGCAAAAGTGTTTGAAGATCTACGAGGAGTTGAAGAAGAACATCGTGGAAGAGGCCGCGGTGCCTTTGGCGGCCACATCTACTACGACGACAACGACGACGACGACGACGACGCCGAATACGCATGACATGAAATTACCGGCGAGCAGCAAGTCGGCCAAAAGAAGAATCAGACGGAGGAAACTTAAGGCATCGAGACGAGGCGAGGAAATTACCGAGATGATGGAGGAGAAGGGCACAAAGGAGCGTCGCGAGAGCGACGACGACGACGAGAGCGTCGACATGGCCCCGTACAACTTGGTGACGCACGCGGACAGACGGACGAGCAAAGACTTCCTGGAGAGATCGCTGATGGCGGCCTTCCTGCTCAAATGCCTGCAGAGAGTCGGCTTCTTCGCGTGCCCCACGCCGGACGACGGTACTTATCGTCAGCCACTTTACACCCGTAACGTACGTTCCTTCTCGCGGGGGCTGTATTTAACTTTCAGGGTAATTTACCGGATCGCGAGTAGTCGAGGTCGAAAGAGGAGAGGAAAGGAGAAAAAAATGTGCTTGCTCGTGCGGAGGGCGAACTTTCGATTCAGCAAATTCTCCGCGCGGCCTGGCGTTCATCCGCTCGTGCCATAAAACCGTAATTTTAACAGCGTTCAGCGGAAAGAGTCGCGGAAAGTTTTTGCCGGGAAGCTAAGAATAGGGGGGGGAGGAATAAAGGGGAGAAGAGAGAATAGAGGAATGCACAGAAAGGAGCTACACTAATATCGGAAACTTTGGCGAGTTTTCAGAAGTCCCGGGTGCCGAGGAGATCACCGTAGCCGCCCTGCTGCTAAGGAACCTGCAGCTGCTCCAATTCAACGCCCACGAGTTCTTCGAGACGCGAGTGAGCGCGGAGCATCGATTTCATGGCAGCCGACCGGTCTATCTCGGCGTGGCGATTTATCCCACAGTCGCTCGTTTCAATCACGACTGCTATCCCGCGGTGACCAGGTGAGCAAGGGGAAGATAAAGACATTCTTCGAGGGGGGGGGGGGGGGAGTCCATCTCTGGAAAAAATTGAACCTTCTGCGAGCAGAAGTGAGACCTAATGTAATCGTCGCGAGCGAGCGAGCGATTCGTCATTGCTTTGGTCATTCGTCATGACCGAAGATGACGTCTTCTTAAGAAAAAGAACGTTCTCTTTTTTAAGATGCATAAGATCAGACACAACTGCGTCCGTACCCTATATGTATTCGCACGCGCACAAAATAAGCAAACACAGCAGAATATAAAAAAAGGACCAAGAATCTGGTAATCCTCGAGAGTAAAAGAGCGAAATGTACCGTGAAATATGTATACCTATTTTCGAATACGAAGGCGCGAGAATATTCACCGACGCGAGGTGTCAAATAAATCTCGCAGAAATGAGAAGTAATACGCGAATACACTGGCGCTTCCTGACGTAATCGCTGGAGCTGCGGGGAATTAAAAAGGGTAGTTTCCGAAATTATACCATATGATATAATACACGTTTTTCGACTTTTCCCGTTTTTTCTTGTGTATACTGCTTCCTCCGTTATTCCTCGTCTTTTGTAATGGAAAAATAACTCAAATAAGTCATTTCGCGTTAGAGCGAAGTTTTAAGATACGTGACAAGAGAAAGTATGTAAATGATTGATTCAGAGTTTAAATGTACAATATATGCGAAGATCTGATGCCATTCATGTGTTAGCGTTCTCATTTATCACGCGCTAATTTAATAAAAAATTAACAGAGAAGAGCAGAATGTATGAAAATAAATTACTTTGTTACTAAATATATTTTACAACTTGTTGGACTTTTATCTCCGCTACACGAAGAAAAAAAAAGGGCGCGGGTGATTCCAAGAATCGAATCCTTTCGTTTTTCCGGGCGAATGCTCTTCACCATTTAAGCTATCCAGCTCGCGTTATATCAAATCAAAGAAGAAGCCCTTTGGACACTGGCGATAGTTGTGAATGGTTGTTTTTTTTCGTATCACCATTAAGGTGACGGATAACATCTCTCACACCAGCTAAGACCGATAGGATCTTAATATTAGGACCACGTGCTTTGGAACTTTTGTCCAGGAATGAAAATTCCACGGATGACAAATTTTCAATATTAGGAACGTTTACTTTGGAACTCATGTCCAGAAGTGAAAGTTACAGACCTTTAACATCAGCGCTGAAATTTACTTCCTGAGAGCGGAGTATATTCACGCAAGACCTCCAGGCAGACGGACGATCAGAATGCCAAGTATTACAAAATTGAGAAAGTGGAGTCGTCCATAAACGAGTCGCATCGCGACGAAGAAGTGTGTCGTTGTTTAGGGGCGAGAAAAATATCAAGATCGACTGGACCGGGAATCGAACCCGGATCTTTCGCATGCCGGGCGATTGCTTTTACCACTAAGCTACCCGGCCCTATGAAATAACACTCTTCCCGTTGTCGATATGTATTGTGTATAGCACTGTACCCACAATTCGTTAAGGCCGCGACACACAGAAAACATAAACAGTAAAATAGAAGCAGTAAGCGAATCGGTCAAAATAGTCGAAAGTTGTGGATGAAACTAAAACTCTCATCTGTGATTGATCGGCTTGCTTACTGCTTAAATGTTAATGCTTACGGTTTTCCGTGAGCTCTGGCCTTAACTCTGAAATTTTCTTCCAATTACGCAAAATAATTAAATGAGGATGCATAAATGAGAATACATATATGATCTACACATTACACACGGTCTCGGTGAACTTGGCGTCTCGGCGAGATGCTTCGTGCTGATTTGCATATTAATAACGTGGCCGCTTTAAAGAATAGACCGGCGTGAGAGCTAATTAGTATAACTAGACGGTACACAATCGCCTGTGTCATCGCGCGCGAATTTATTAATCGACCCGCGACCGCCCGGCCCGCAGTCTGTTAAGCGAAGTTTCCCCGGAGCCCTTCAACAACTTCCCGCGTTTTGTCGCCGGAAAACTCCTTTGTCTTTCCGCCAAAATAAATTCCTCTCATCGAATTTACATGAATCCGCGAGCTCTTACGGAAAACTGACGAAATTGATGGGGGAAACGAAAATAATCCTCGCGAATCCGATTCTTTTAAGTAAATAATTTTAACGATACTCAAGAGACGACTGTTTTCGCTTCAAAATAATTTATTTAATGTATCGGAAAAAATGTTTAAAGCCGAATAACACATTCGGAGAATTGAGTTCCTCCTCCTGGGGAATATACCGATGCTTCTGCTGCGGATCTATTAACGCTAATTAAGTACGTGGATTTTCGGGCAGCACTAAAACGCGTCTGTGATGACTTCGTGGGTCGCGGCTATTATACGCGAAATTACACCAGCGCGCGCTCATTATTCCGTAATGTCACAAACTCGTCTGCGCTACTCTCGGTGCGAGCGGAAATTGTTACTGTTCACGTTATTAACGTCGCCGGGGCCATTGTGATGATTACGATTATTATTTCATTGCAAAGTGATTGCGTCGCCCTCCCCCGTTTTTCGATTTATTAACCCGTATACTTGCGATAATAACTTCTGCTTCGGATAGAGACCGCCGGTTAACGACTTTTAACACAATACGTGGACGCGTTTGCCATCGTTCACTTGATTGAGATAAAATAAATAATAATAGAAATGGAACCTGCGCTGTGTATTCATATAGAAAAATGTAAAATACGTATATATATTAAACAAAAAATATGAAATATTTAATGCTAGGAAATGTATATACTTTCTAAAAATTTTCTTACAATATTAATTATAATCATAATTATTATTAACGCTTGACATCCTTTGGAAAACGTAATTTAATTTACTATCCAAATTTTGATACTTTTCATTTATAGTCGCCGTCTACATATGAAAATTCTTTTAGCTATAATTATCTGACGTAGCTACCGTACATATATCGAGATTTGTACTCCTAATAGCGAACATGTTAATTTTCGTTACGACGTGCGTTTATGGGGTAGTATCAGAATCTTCCTTTTGTGTCCAATTGCAGGTACTTCGTCGGCCGACATATCGTAATAAGAGCGGTTCGCGGTCTACGGCCCGGCGACGTTATTGCCGAAAACTACGGACCGATATTTACGAAGAAGACCCTCGCCGAGCGTCAAAGGACACTGGCGGGAAGGTATTGGTTCCGATGTACCTGCAAAGCCTGCCAGGAAGATTGGCCGCGCTTCGAAAATCTGACGAACGATTCCGTCAGATTGAGGTAAGTCCATTTAAATTCTCCGAGATCAAGCTCATTAACGAAGTAATTTAATTTGTCTTAATGAACAATCGTATCGGGGCATTTAAGTTTCTCTCCGGCTAAACGTCTCCATGTCGACAGATTAGCGAAGTAATATCTATCGGAAAAGTAATGCAAAAAGTTAGTTATTAACGACGAACGTCTGGAAACGTACGCGCTTCGTGTTGCGGTGCACGTTTTAATTAAGACGATTAATTCTTTCTTTCGTGTCATTTAACTGCAAATCCGGCTTGAGTGTCTCGATAAGAACCGAAAGATGCTGGTAAACCGCAGCAACGAGTAAAAGTACAAGAATATCACATGGGAAGAATAACAAGCGACCGAAAGAGAGAGAGAGAGAGAGAGAGAGAGAGAGGGAGAGAGAGAGAGTTAGCAAATGTTTTTCAAGATCGTTAAAAACCGCAAGTCCTGATGAGGCGAGTTCCTCAAAGGGAAGAAGCAAGAAGCTCCTGTACCGTAAAAATGCTCCTGTCGTCAAAGGTACTTCTGTTCATCGTCGTCGTAAGATTCTTATACCAACTCCAACGACACGGGCAGGTGCTTTTATCAGTTTCGTGTTTCGTGGTAATTTTCTGGGTAGCAGCACCACTACTCGTTACGTTGCGTCTTTTACGTCAACAAACGGAGCGCAGCTCCGAGGACGGTATTTCTCTTAGACAAATAAACTACGGAATTCTTTTTTGAGAGCGTCAGGCAAAAGTTCAATTACGAGTAATTATTTCATCATCACGCTAACGCAAATGTAATTCTTTTAAGTGCGCGTCTCCGTTGACGGTTCTCTCTTTGGAGGAACGATTTAATACCGACTGAAGCATCTTTGTTTCGCATTTTTTCTACTGTGCTATATCCTTAATTACATTTGTATGGAATATTAGCGAGCCGAATGGATAACAAAGCCATGTTCTTCAAACAATTTCAAACGGAATATGTTTCAATATTTTAATTTTTTGTAGCTTTATTACGAATATATATAAGTGATACAAGAAATAGGAAAATTGCGATAAAAGATGTTCGATATTTTTACTGAGAAGGAAAAAATCGATTTCAAATTGTTATTAAAAAGATCGTGGTTTTAAAATTCTTTTATAAGTCAAAGATAATGATAAAAACTATTATAAATGTTGCACTTTTTAGCATCTTAAAATTAATATTTTCGAATAATTTTATAGAAATTAATTACGAAATGAAAGATTATATGTCAAACCTTCTGACATAAATTATAATTCGATTTGATTCCGATAACAATTTGATTTCTCTCGCGAGTAATAAAATCTTTGCGACGAGAAAGAGAATCCGCGAAATATTCTTTTGACGTTTTTCTCTCTGCCCCAAGATGTCCTACGGCAGGGTGCAGCGGACTACACTCGCAAGCCCGGCAAGGTAAGCCGATAAAATGCCCGGACTGTCAAAAGAAAATCTGCTTGGAGGATCGACTCGCGTGCCTGCGAGAGTGCGAGGCTCTCTACGACCGTGGATTGGCCGGTATGGAGAACGAGAGGGTCGACGAGGCGATCGGGACACTCTGCGGCGCCCTGAAGAGATTTCACCAAGTCGCCTGTCCACCGCATCGGGACACACACCTGGCCGAAATTGCTTTAAGCTCCTGTCTGGCTGACTACGGGAATACTTGGCGACCGGCGGCGGCGCTTTGAAGAGCGCACAGGCGGAGAAGGAAGCTGACTTGCGAACGGATCCTGTAACCACGCGGACGACCGCGGCGGTTCGAAGATGTCCGAATAAAAGAGAAACGCGTTTGATCATAGGACGTAGACGTTGGTCGGCCCAATTTGGTCGACGCACACTACCATACGTTGAAACATATACTTACCCGGCCAATATTCTGTATGACATTTCAAGCAAAAATATATTTATTAGCGTTTATTGCGTTTTTATGAGCATTATAAATTCATATACTTCCCTCTGACGACTTTATCGCTGATTGACTTGAGGAAGCTGAGATAAAAAAAAGAATTGATTAATAAGATTTGAGCGTAATACTCTTTTTATAATATATTAAGTGAGTCATGACCGTTTATGATAAATCAAGTAAATGTGCCAATGTACGGTCGAGCTGGATCTTTGTCTAATAATATTATTCGTGCAAATTTATGTACATTTTTTCGCTTATCGGCACATTTCCTAAATATTCTTTATCCTTCATAAAATTGATTAATGATGTTCTACCTTTCAATTTAAAATGGCTAGAGACCGTCGTATACATACTCGAAATTTTCGATGGCACAGTTCTTTCACCTAGGTTACGATTTGGATCGAACTTTACGCGGAAGAGGAACGTTATCTTTATTGCCTTTATAAAATCGCCCAGCAATGTAATAAAAACCTCCCGCGGGAGGAGGTTATAGAATGAAAGTATTCCGACCGCCACGCGCGAACGATGGTCACGCGTCGTCCGCATAACGTCGCACAATTTGCACGCGATATTACCCGTCCATACATACGCACCGTACTTCGGCCTCTTGTATCCGCGACGATTATCGGCACACGGACAAAAACAGATAGCGATAATTGATATTGCGAGCATGAAACGGCTGCGCGAATAGATGTTCAGTATCGGGAAATTAGCGGCCGAGGCGTTTACCGAGGCGTCGACCTGGAAGCCAACTTTTTTAATTTCGCCTGCACACAGAGCGCAGGCAATCAATTGGTTCATCCGAGATCTCTCCTGATTGCCTTCGCTGTGTATATAGCTGTGTATGTGTGTGTATACGTGTGCGTGGGTGTGTGTACCTTTGCACGGTGTATCGTATCTCTATCTGTGAAAACATACGGTCGGGGAGTTTCTGATAAGTCGTACGGCTTTTTGCTCTTACATCTTCCTCTCGTTCTGCCCCGAACGCGAAAAGCATGGAATTCTGCCAATCTTAACGTTAAGAAATCCCGTCGTCTCGTTTAACAACTACGTCGAGGAAGTATTTACGATAGACTCCCGGAGAACGCCAAGAATTATTTACAACGAAATAATAAAGTAGAGCACCTTCCATTCTCCATCGTACTTTTTTAAATTATAATAATTAAAGTGTAGATTTTGTTAAATCCCTTGTGTATCTCCTCTCCGCTTGTTTCTTCTTTCAAAATAAAATGGTTTAGTAAAATGATTTTTCTTTCGGATATGCAGACGACGCTCTCTCATCTCTTGCGTAATAGACCGTGTATTTATCATCGCATATGCGGCAAAAAGTGCGTACATACAGACTGCCGGATGTATACATATAGCTGTTGCGTACTCACGTATTGCATTATATATCCGGATTAAAGGACTCAAATCCGACACAACCCGTTAACCTTTTTCTTCTGTTCGTGACAATCGCTGGCCGCTCTGCAACGGCATGTTGAGTTATTTACGAGAGTGCACTGCGCAATCTGTATCGGAAATACGATAAGTACACCAGCGAATTCTCAAATTATTTCTATGATCATACGTGAAGTATTATGTGAATATTATTTTAAATATTAATTTTTTTAAATTAACATTTAAAATTCTAAAAATTACAATTTCAAAAATCTCAAAATATTAAAAAGAATATAATTTGCAAGAAGGTTGCACCAGCTAAAATTTCAAGAACTTTTAATTTTATTTCAAATATGGTCAATAATGGTTAAGCTATATACATTCTAAAAAATGTCTTATAAAAAATAACTTCTAGACGTCTTTTCAGAAAGTTGAAAACAAGACTTTTTAAAACTTTTAACCTTTCCGGGACAGGAAGCCTAATATTAGGCGCTGGAGTGGCGCCGTCTTTTTCGTAGTTCAATCCACTGGCAAGAACAAAAAAAAATGTTCTAGCACTAAAACTAAAAAGGTCGTCCAAAAAAGAGGCCAGTCCTGTAGAGATTAATAAAGTCTTAAAAATGTTTTAAGAAAAATGTCTTTGAAATATTTTTTAAACACGCGCGTTGTCTGAAAATTACGGATTAATTTATCATTCTGTTTTCGTCGTTTTAACTACATAATGAATCATATTTTTCGCGCAAAAATAACAACGGTAAAAACTATATATTCAAAAGATATATAACGAAAGATATTTTTATTTACCACAAAGAGTTTGCATTATCTAGAATTGTTTTGCGATCAAACTGAACTGTTTTCGAATCTTCCACGTATCGATATAAAGATTTTCCGAGCGAAACTACAACTTTAAGGCAAAGGTATTCTGCTTTTAAGTTTAAAAGCATGTTTCGAAATAAAAAGAAATATTTTCCCACTATACGTGGAGATTCGCATGGATAACGCATTTTGCGCTGCAGATAAATGCAGAATTTAACCGTGATCGTTAAAGCACGTACGGACGTTGCTCGACGCGCGGATCGGACAATTTATAATTCATAATGACGAATCTGTAATATGGAAGCCGAATCCGTTGTGTCAATTACGGTGTCGCGTACGGTTACTGCTGATCGTTGCTATACGAGAGATTAACGCTGGAACGGAAAATTAATTTATATACCTTGCGAAAGGTGATTAAGTGCCACCGTAATACCGGTATTATTGGAAATTCTCTATGACGGGAATGCATTATACCTATAACTTCTACCCGGGCTCCGCGATCAACATCGCCGCGTGAAATTACACATATATGTGAAATGCGTACGTACAATTCCGCCGGGGACTCGTCAATTGCATTACCTCAGAAATTCCTCCGCGGCGGAATTAAAGATTAAATATCTGATTCGTATATTCAATGGCGAATTTCGCAATATTCCGTTCTGTATAATTTCATGACCGTAGATCGCGCCACATTTTATTTCAAGTACGCTGTAAATCTCGGAATTTCATGCGAGGATGAATTGATACGAATAATTAAATAAAATTTATCAACGCACATACGCGCATATTTCCGCTATTAATTCAACTTGAAATTTTATTTTTACCGGCATTCTCGTTCCACTCGACCCGATCATAATTGCCTTTTCAATAAAATTGCGGATTCTGCGTCAATATATTTTTGCGCTTTGCGAGCATGTTGGTTGTTTACACGATGATAATTTAAGGTAATGAGGAACATCGGGATAAGCGAGGGGATCGAATGAAACAGAACGCATGTTTCGATTTATAACTTTTGCGATTTTTTTGGTGGATTTATTTTTTATAATGCACATGTTTCTCGTGAAAAAATTAAATTCCGTGTATGAAATTAGCATTTAGAGTTTCACGTTTCGGTACAAAATTCATTGGGAGGGGAGGAGGGGAAGTCAGTCGACGGACGACTTTATCTCGGGACACGCTCGGACGACGTCGACGACGGCGTCGTGCCCGGCGTCCGTCGAGGTCTTTTGATGGATTTTCTCTTATTTATTTTTTTTTATCTCTCGAAAGAGTTGAACGTCTCCTCGATCGGGATTTCGCTTCTTTTTCTCCTGTTCTTCTCTTTCGTTTCTCGTCCACGTCTCCGTCTCTCTCTCTCTCTCTCTATCTCTATCTCTCTTTCCCGCGATATATGTTATATAACTCGAGTATCGCCTTTATTCGCGTGAAACCCGAATCGGATCTAATTGACTGTCGCGACGTGATACCCCTTTTTATCGCGAATGTTTTTGCCGGGGGTGGACACGACGCGAATGCACGACGGAAATTTCGAGCGGGAAGGATCGCGCGCGATCGCGGCTCCTCCTTCCTTCCCGAAGGATCCTCTCTCCGGCGGAGGACGAATTTTTCGTCCGCTCTCCCAAGTCCGGACGGCGACTCGAGTCTCCGTTCCTCCCCACGGTGACGAGAACCGAAAAACACCGATGACAAATCGCGAAATCTTGCAAACGCGGCACACGGCCGTTTAAATCCGCCCGTTCGCGGAGAACGCGAGATCTTGGAACGCGCAAACAATCGCGCGCGCATCGCGATCGGACGCTTCGTATGTTAAAGAATCTCGACGGGAGATGCAAACTCGTCTCCCGAACCAAGGAAAGGTGTTTAACATACGAAGCACCGGCTCGCGGGGAAAATCTCTCTTCCGCTTTCCCTCGCGAGCGCTTCCCGCGGATTTTCGGCTAATGGACCGCGCGCGCGCTATTACGTGGTCCACGGATCGAATTCTCATCTTCGAATCTACGAATTCTTCTCCGCGAACTTTCCGCGTTCGCCCGATCGTAAGCCGTCTTTCAACTTTTTCGCAACGAACATGTACGCGATCGCGATTGACTGACGGCCGCGTCGAGACGTCTCGACCACGGCGATAAATCCGAACGACGAAGTACGCAAACTCATTTTCTCGGTTACTACACCCCCGGGTTTCTTTCTCTTCTTTCTATTTTTTTTAACCGCGTGTGAAGTTTAGCTGCTGGATTCGCTCGTGATTCGATTTCTTTCGGTTTTGCCCTCACGGCTTTGGTTTTTCGTTTTAACTCTGATATTCACTGTTAACACATGCATTGTTCTTTTTTTGCAGTTACAATCGCACGCCCGGTTCGGCGTGCCGCTTGAAAATTTTTGCTTGTTCCGCGCCTCTCGCTCTTCCGCTGTCTCGAGAGGCCGTCTCTGCTTGGATTTCTTTTTTCTTTTTTTTCTTTTTTATATTTCTTTCTACCGTGTTTTTTCGTGGGAACGCGCGGTTACGTTAGACAACGGAGGGTGATTACGTTAATACAGCGCGGTCCGAAGAGTCGCCACGTGCTTTTGTCCCAACGGACGCGGATTGCGGTGTAATAGAAAACCGGAAAAACGCAGGTGAAACGCGCGTCGATCGACAGCATCTCGTGTCCGCTGGGTTTTCTTTCCACGGAGTCGAATAAGAAAAAAAAAGAAATATATATATTTACGGCGACTTCGGAATAGGATCGGCGTTCGATCGCCTCCTCGCTTATTTCTCACTTTCATCTCGCTATTCGGTTGTAAAAGTGTTGCATATACAAATATATAAACGCACGTCCGCCGTAACGTAACCGCGTGTTTAATCTCTCTCCACTTGGCACCACACTCACGCACACACTCTCTCTTTCTCTTCCTTCCTTACTCCTCTCTCCTTATTATTCCCTTAAACTGCTAATCCTGACCAATCGGATGTTTCGTACCTCGAGGTACCAGAACTTCTCGATCTCTCAGATTTTTCTCTCGTATACACAAACAAACGATATTATGCAATTTTTACGAAGAATCGACACACTCGGGTTTCGTGGCGTGGCAGACGCTACTTCACAAACGGGACGTGGTAGGACAGTGAGACACAATTAAAGACGATCATCGTGGTGGATATATGTACGGTAATGTCTTTGGGCGGAATACTCCTGCCGGCACCCAGACAGAGGGTACGACTACCGCGTGTCAGTGGTGGCAATTTGGGACAAACTGTATTCGCGAGCAACGATTTTCAATATGCATATCCGTCGAAGCGAACAGCGTGAATAAAATCCACGCCCGTTACGTCTCTCTCTTTCTCGCGAAAATATGCATGTTTCTATACGTATTTCGCACACGGTGCATTTGCACGCGCGTTATCTCTTAATCGTTCCTCATTCGCGAATACATTTTGCGCATCACTGGTCGACGAGCACAGAACTACACGACGACGGAAACAATAAACACCGTGTAACATCGGTAACGCTACACCCAAACGACACGAGGACGTGTGAAAGATTAGGATGTATCTTTGTCTAATGGACCTTCGTGATGTTGTGGTGATCTCGCAGACCTTTGTGTCGCCTGGATATAGACGGAAATCAGAAATCAAATGAAGTTTCGCCAAATAGAGATATTTCAATTTTTCTTTTTCCTTTTTTTTAAAGAAAGTAGACATATATATTTATTTTATTATCCGTCGACGATACTACAAACTAAAATTTTAAAAATTAGTTTCATGCAAAATTATACAAAGTTTGTTTTTTCTCTCTCTCACACACTTGTTCGCTTCTCTCCTTCGTACTCTCATGACAGTCTACGATATTCGTATTGTCAGTCGAGCCAATGTATGATACGCCCGGCTCTTGTTCCGAAAAGTCAAATCGAGTCGATTGCCGCATGCAAGCGGTCAGTGATTTAATATAAAAAAAAAAAACAACCTGCCCGGTGCACAGTCGATCGACGTCAATTCTAGAAAAAACCGGACGATTTATTCACGCGCGGAAGTCAGTGAGGTCTCACGGTGAGGAGCCGTCCTCTCTGCCTTGCGGCCGATCTAAAGTGTCTTCAGGCCCGATAACACGAATGATAGAATACAATTAATACGCATTGCTTTGTCGAAAAAAAGAACGGGACCGCATTTCAGTATCTCTTCGTGCGCCGCTCGCAGCTCGGGAAGACTCGCGGCGTGACACCTCACGAGTTTTCGCGCCCAATTCCATGACTAACCAATATAATGAATAAAGTCAAAACAATAATCGCTAATTAATAATATACCGCCGGAGACCCACCAGGGGCCAATATTAACAATTGTAAAAATATGGCCAAGATAAATGCTATTACAATAATCGTTTCTGCTTGTGATCGCCTGTAAAGTAAATAAGAAAATTGGAACCACGGCCGCATTTGTCGTTCCCTGAGTACCAAAATACTGCATTTATTCTATGCTTATTGATCAATCGTGATCACCTTGCAATTAACAGTACAATTTTGAGATACTCAAGGATAGTGACATGTGGTCACGATGACTCCAACTCTTCTTACTGAAAGAGTGAAAGCAATACGGTAAGCTCACAAATTTCGAAATATATGCCGAAAAGAAACGACTGACTTCGAGATAGGCAAATATTTAAGTGGGACTCGTTTATCAACAGTAGCCACGTAATCGGTTTTCACTACTCCTTTTGATGGAAAAGCCGCCGAAAGTGAAGAAAGCTCGCGGAAATGTAGCAATAAACTCAAATATCGTATATCGATGAAACGATTTATAATGCGCCTCGCCGGAGAAAAATTAGAAGTAATGTACGAAACAAGAAATACACAAAAAAACAAAAACAAAAATTATATATATTTATATATAGATATCTATTGCCGCGCTCGAGTTCATCGCTCCGTACTCCGTAATTGCTTTACCCTTCTGTCCAAATTCCCGAAACGAGAAGCACGCGGCCATTCCTAACGAGTTCTCTCAGCGAAATAGCTAAAATCAAGCCTAAGATATCAGAAGCGCAGAATTCGCTACGTTTATCTCGCTGAAGGAACGCGCCAGGCACAGCTGTACGCCTCTCAATTTTCATACGTATCTTAATTTTAATTTGCTTTCGTGGAGAGAGTGTGGAGTAGTGTTTGTTGATTTTTTTTTGTTATTTTTTTAAAGATTTTTTGCAATTGTTTTGTTGGCTGTTGTCGATGCTGCAGTGTATAACGGGTGTTGGTGTTATATGTTAAAAAGGAGTGTCCTGCGGTAATAGCGCGAGATCCTGTCTCGGTTAGGCGGTGCTTTCGGTGGTGGTGTTCTGCACCGGCTGGCTCTCCTGCAAACATACACAATTGACGAACATTATTCGTTGCGTGAAGATGCGCAAGAGCAATATCACGTGAATAGCAATTATGCGACGCGTGGTTAAACTATCTTTACTATAATCGTCTATATATCTGTGTAAGAGCTGTGTGGAAAATGCAATTCCTTCTAGAAAAATGTGAAAACGAAAGGAGGAAAGTAACAGAGAGCAAGTAAATCGGAAGATCCGCTTCGTCGATCGCACCTAATGCCGGAAGTGTAAGTGACTGAAAACTCCGGCAACCGAGACGAGCTTCTGCGAGATCAAAAAGAAGGGGAAAAAAAACAAAGCGACGTTACCTGTGGAGCAGGGGCAGCGGCAGGTGCATCCGAATCTTTAGGTGCATCAGACTTCTGCTCCGACTGAAAAGAGTACAAAGAGACACGTGCAAACAGTGTGTGCTAAGCGCTACCGCTCTGTATTTGTCGACGGATCGCGCATTCGCAGTCTCCTAATCAAAAGCGTTCTCTCGTTCGTTTCAATTTGCAAAATTCCCACGTCTACTGCTTCGATACTCCACTGCGTCGGAGTTACGTACGAGCCTCCCGGAAACCGGGAGCCAAATCAACTCCACGAAATAAAAAGTAAAGAAAAGTTGTAAATTAGTGAAGTTGTAAATTAATTGTTTTGATATTAAAATTACAAGTATAGAAAGCGGAATTCACATCTTGGCTTCTGAGAGGCTTATACATATCAACTTCTGACTCGCATTTAAAATGTACGATTGAATGCACGCATGAAAAAGAAAATAAATGTTGACGAGTGCAATTCGTTGACGAAGAAATAGATATTTATGCAGATGTAATGTAGGTGAAACTTGTGATTCATATTGCGACAATGTAAATTTTTATTCACTCCAGTTTTACGTTAAACCGTATATTTGCGTATATATGCAAAGACATATTCGTAAACCTGATTGATAAAATCGTCCGTTAATTGTCGTCGGTAAAGAATATCTAAGATAACACGTGTTACTTTCTACCTTGAATAAGAAAGGGTAGAACCAATAATACCTTTGTG